TCCTTCCTTCCCTCCTTCCTTCCTTCCTTCCCTCCTTCCTTCCTTCCCCCTCCTTCCTTCCCTCCTTCCTTCCTTCCTTCCCTCCTTCCTTCCTTCCTTCCCTCCTTCCTTTCTTCCTTCCTTCCCTCCTTCCTTCCTTCCCTCCCTCCTCCCTTCCCTCCTTCCTTCCTTCCTCTGCATCGCTTAATTATTTTTTGATTGTCTAAATGTGTTTTTGATGATGTAGGTTTTTACTTGATGACACCTTTTTCTTGATAGCCCTCCCGACTGGAGTGGTCTAAACTCTAGTGCTATCATCTCTCCTGCCTTCTGCAAAGCCACAACTCACCTGAGCTAGCTCAAGCCATACAACTCTTACAAAAAGTCTGGAAAGAGTGCGACGACAAACTGCGTGAAGCTTGCCTCCGGCAATGTGAAACCCAAATCCTCCAAACGAAGGCGCTGCAACCTGACAAGGCAGGTTGAACACGGCCACAAAAATACAACAAATCAAGCAAAGATTTGCACAGGCTGTCATCTGCATTGAGCATCTCAGTTTGGGGTCATGACGGATCTTTTTGCAAAAGCCCGCGAATGATCTCGACCATGTCTGCAGGAGTTTCAGGAGGCAAAGCCGGCGGTTGATGCTCGACAATCTGCCACACCAATGCAAGCCTGGAATGTTTAAAGTCAGGCTGTGACTCAGACTGCGAACCGATCTGCATGCGCGTCGCTGATTGGAAGCATCGAACGGCCGTTGGAGTGATGCCAGCTCATATAGACCTTGGCAGCTACCAGTTGCAGTCAATCGAGTTAACGTTGACTCTATCTAGTCAGAGTGTGTTGTCCATCACTATCACATTATGCCGTGTTGTGTGGCAGCAAGCGAAGTCTCACACGATTAAGTCAAAGTGCAAACTCCCAGTGCCCATGCATCTGCTGGAGGTCCATAAGGTTTTCCGGAGACCAGCTTTGGAGGATGGTAGGCCGGTGTGCCCAGCACTGTTCCTGACGGAACTGACGCCAATCTGAATCACTTGAACTTCACCAAGGCAAAGGCACATGAATTGAACCTTGCTCACTCCTGCGTAGCCTGACGCCTCCAGAATCTTGGAAACACCAAAGTCAGCCAATTTGACTTCTTGCATGTGGCGATCGACCAGCAAGTTTGGTGGCTTCACCTTGGAAGCATTCGCACACTAAAGGAACTCTTACAAACATTCAAGGCCCAGAAATATCTGCAAATACCTTGGTGACGTCATAAACACAAAGTTGTCCCAACTCCCAAGTCGCATCTCGATGCAACACTCCTTGGGAGTGGATATAATGCAGCGCACCGCCGACCATGGAAAGGACGCGCCTTGTTGACCAATTTGCTGGTTTGATTGGTTTTATGCCATTCTGCATCCAGCACACTCACGACTCAAGGCCGTCAGACTGATGCCAAAGGTGCTCCAAAAAATAGCCGTCAAACGGTGACTGGTTGTGAAGCCGACGCACTTTGATGCCGTTTCCGAGATCACCTCATCTTCCACTAGGAGGAAGCCAATCAAGAAGTCCTGTATCTTGCCTTCCTTTTGGAAAATGCGTCTTCCGTTCTTTCTGTGTTTGCTGTGCAATGTTGTTCTCTTGTTCCAAATGACGCCTCAGGCTAGGACCACCATCCAAAAATTCTAAAGCTAACCACACACATCGTCTTGAAGGGTCGAACCTGGCATAATGCATGTCACGGCCGTGGGAGATTCAACGTCAAATGCCAAAGGGCATGCAGCAATGCAACGCATCGTAAAACAGGATGAGTCGGGTCATGAAGTTCTGTCAACACGTGGCCAACTTGTCCACCTACCCTCCTGTACACAAACAGATATACACATATCCAGGTATGTTCTCCAAGTGTTTGGCATGGGTGACTGAGACTAAGGAAACATTTCTGCATGGCCACACTCACTAGCAGAGGTACCCTTAAAACATAGAAACTACAGTCTGGCAAGGGAACGAGGAATGTGAAAACTGGCTGCCGGCCCTTCCAAGCATCCAACAGTTATTCAACACCCTCAACAAAATATTCCAAACAAAAAAAAACTGGGAACTTGCACATGCCTTGACCAGTCAAACAGGATGCCCGAGCTTGGATTGAGCACATTCCCAAAGCAATTGCATTCTAAAGCCATGCTAAACAAAGGAACGCTCAATGAAACGCAAAAGGATAGAGAAAACAACAAAACAAAAACAACAGAAGGGCCAAGCCGGTGAACCCTAGCAAATTTATACAATATGATGCCGACAAGGTGCTGCACATCATGGCACGCCACAATGTTTGGGTGCCGGAGTTGTTGCAAAAGACGTGCCTTTCAGCGGCGGTGTGTCATCGGAACATGGTACAGTACCTGGTACCTTTGCGTCATTCGCTGTGTGCTCTTCTCGTGGGCAATTGACTGCAAACCAAACCATTGGTATACGCTGATGAGAAACAATGATAATAAAATGTCAGCAGCGTTGCACATCAAAAACCATCCCGCCCCGTTAAACTGCCTCTGCCAATGTCGCTGCTGCTGCATTTGCCGCTTCCCTGTCATCCAAACGGTCACAAGGCACCACCTTCAGCGCTAGCCTCGCTTGAATCGTTGGAAGGGCGGTGTGGGTTCGAGTCTTCTGCCCAGCTGCTTGATTAAATAGCCAAGTGTTGCAAGGCTCGCAACCCTTAATCACTCCTCAGCCTAGGCGCTCCTGGTCATGGAGGTCACGCACCAACAGCCTAAGTTCAAAACACAAATCTGTTCCTGGTCAACTGGGGCTGTGCGGTGGGACAGTTGCTGTCGCACAAACACATGTGCAACTAGTTGTAGTAACAACTTTGTCAGCAGGCCACCCGCAATAACTTGCAAAAAAAGGGGCCCTGGATCATTGAAGGGAAATTTTTGCTATTTTACTTATTTATTCCGATATTTTATTGATTTTGATGTGTGTCGCGCACACACATTTTCAGGTTTACACCCAAAAATCTTGGCGCTTTAGAAACATAAATGGGTTTGTTAGAAATCTGACAGTTTTCATTGAGTTACCAAGGACCTATAGCTGACACCCTCCCACTGACCCACACCAACTCTCACAGGACCACTTTTTCCATTGGCCAACGCCAACCATGTATGGTCGTTGGCATCAACTTTTGATGCGTGATGGACAGCCCGCACAATGCTCCTTAGCTAAAGGCAGCTCAGTCATGGCAATTGATGTATGACAGAATCCATCTTGACGCAAACTCCCAAGGGTGCTTTTCGCTCGTGTTGCGCGCATCAGCTTCGCAGCGGGATACTTTGTTTTAGCGGTAGCTCTCACAATGCTTACTTCTCAGTGTGGGCACAATACTCAACTTGTGTGTTTGCCCAATTCCAGCTGCTGGTGCTGCTGCTGCTGCTACTGCTGTACTGTTACTGCTGCTTCTACTGCACCTAGTACTACTACTACTACCACTACTACCACTACCACTACCACTACCACTACCACTACCACTACTACTACTACTACTACTACTACTACTAGTGTGACACACGCGTGTATATTCACAGGCAACAAGTCTTCCTCACAAAAGACTTGGGCCTACAGGATGTCAATTCCAAGCAGACAAGCGAAATGCCACCAAAGGTGCCGCTCGCGAAGGGCGCCTTTAACTTGCAAGAGCTAAAGTGACAAAAATCGAGCAGCAAAGGTTGCAACCAAAAATTGCACTAACAACTGCTCCAAGGTTTTATTTTTTGGGTGAGCAAAGGTTGGAGGACAAGCTTGGCCCAACTGCTGTTCAAACAAATTGTTTTGGATAGCAAAGGTTGAATGAAAAAATGCAAATTGCATTTCTAATTTTACTGGGAGGACAGCAAGGGTCTGATAGAAAACCTTTGCCAACAACCTTTCCATCTCTTTTGGGCAGCAAAGGTTGAATAGAAAAGTTGGGCCAACTACTGCTTCTTCTTTTTTGGACAGCAAAGGTTGAACATACAATTTGGGCAAACTACTGTTCCCAATTTCTTTGTGAGCAAAGGTTAGGTAGAAAAACTGGGCGACCTACTTCGCCACAATTTTTTCGGACAGCAAAGGTTGGATAGAAAACTTGGGCCAACTGCTGCCACAAGCAATTGCGGACAGCAACCTTCGAAGGACAATTTGGGCCAAATGGTTGGATGTGGAATTTGAAGGAAAACTTGGGCGCCCCCTGCCGTCCCAAATTTGCCACAAAGAAAGCTACAAAGCTACTATCTGGCACCCCCTGCCTGCCAAAATTTGCCACAGGGGAGGCTACAGAACTACTATCTGGCACCCCCTGCTTGCCAAAATTTGCGACAGGGAAGGCTACAGAACTACTATCTGGCACTCCCTGCCTGCCAAAATTTGCCACAGGGGAGGCTACAGAACGAACTACCATCGGGCACTCCCTGCCTGCCAAAATTTGCCACAGGGAAGTAGGGAAGGCTACAGCTACTATCTGGCACTCCCTGCCTCACAGGGAAGGCTACAGAACTACCATCTGGCACTACAGAACTACGATCGGGCACGCCCTGCTTACCAAAATTTGCCACAGGGAAGGCTACAAACGAATTCCCTGTGACCAAAAATTTTCCTGCGGATCCGGTTCAAAGAGTTAAGGTTGAACCGCGCCAACCTTACTACTGTAGAAAAAAAGCGGGGGAGTTGGCCGACCGTGCTGCAAATCCGGGCCTGCCAACGGTGCTGGGACAGATCTGCTGCATCGTGGTAGTTGAAATTTTGACTACCACAATGCGGCGGAGTTGGCCGAGTGCTGCAAATCTGCATGAAAACCAAGGGTTTTGCTGCAACGTGGTAGTTGAAATTTTGACTACCACAATGCGGCGGATCCTATAAAGTATCTATAAAGTTATACAAAAATGCGGCGGATTTGGCCGAATCTGCTGCATCGTGGTGAGTAAAACTTTGACTATCACAATGCGGCGAATTGACCTCAGAGTGTTGGATTTTGTTCTTTCTGGGGTTCTGGGCACTCAGAAAACCAGTAATTCCAGACAGTCTGCACTTCACATGGTTCTCTTCTATCGCTGCTCCTGCTCCAATTGCTGTTTGAGGGCTAGTAGCAAAGCATCACACAGCTCTGCTGGATACACCTCACAATATTTGCTTAGTTTGTGTGGCCCTCTGAGCCTTGAATAGTCTTGCGGGGGCCACTGCATTGACAATAAACATGGGAAAAGGTAGATGCAACAATGGGAGAATTTGTTAAAAGCCTTGTGCTTTTCCGTATGGGCATACCACTAATTGGCGCCCTGAGATTGAATCTGCATTGGTGGAATGTAACTAAATACACTCCGCGCATAGCAATCAGAGCTTGGACGTCTGGAAGCCCCAGCTAGAAGCGCGCAGCAAATTTCAGCAACACCACTGGCCCAGTTGGTGTTCATCAACTTGGTGTTCAATCAACTGGGAACGCTTGGGCCAACTACTGTTCCCCTGTTTTTGTGACAGCAAAGGTTGAGTAGGAAACCTTTGCTAACTACTGTTCCATTTTTCGGGCAACACCGGTTGAATAGAAAATCGGGGCCAGCTACTGCCCCAAAAACTGCAGACAACAAAGAATTGAAGGACAATTTGGCCAACTACCGGGGCCCGGTCCGTGTCGTTGACTGGTGGCCGGCCGACCCTGCCTGCCCCTGGTCCATCATCCGAGTAGCTCGCCCTTCTGCGCCTCCAGGATTCATCGAACCAAACCCAATCACCTTCTTCGTCCTGCTGCTCCTCTTTGGCTGCATTGTTTCCGGATCCTGTGGCGCCGGATCCCACAGCAGATGGGGCACACATGCCAGATCTGGCATTTGTGAGGAGGATGGAGAGAAAACATTCTTGGTCTCGTTTCTAGTTGTGTTGGTGACGCTTCTGGCTGCCACTTTGTTTATCACTGACTCGCCCTGGCGGCTCCACCCCCAACTGCCACCGTAGTTGGCGGTCCATGTGCCACCTGTGCCCCAGCGGCTGCGATCCCCACGCCCATCCGTCAGGCGGGGTCACTGCGCCAGCCCACCCCGACCAGGTCCATCACCAGGACCATGGCCTGAGCTGCCGTAATCGTACCCGCTGCCGTAGTCGTGCCTTGATGTGTACTGCCGCCATGTGGCTGAGCTGCTGCCATGCCCCCAACCGGAAACCATCATGCCCACCACAGCCAGCTGCCCCAACCGCCAACATGCTCCATGGCCATCGCCAACGTCTCCAGCAGCAGGAGGTCGAACAGCGCCCTGCCCTGCGCGCGTCTCACCCGTCGCCAACCCATCGCAAGTTGAAGGACAGTGCTAGTGAGCGCAACGTAGGGGGGCGCAGTCAGTCACAGGGAGCTCCAAATAGGAAAAACAAGTGTTTGCACTCCAAGACATCTTTGGTTCTTCAGTCAGGGTAGTACTCAAGCAGGCAGGCTGGGTGACATCCCCCACCCCACCTCAGTCCGACTGATCAAGCTGGTAGGTGATGCTAGGTAAGGCGGACTGCCTGAAAAAACGCTGGCTCTTTCTCTATTATGGGCCGCTGCAAAACAGAACATAGGACTCACATTAAGACAATCGCAGTTCCGAAGTTTGGGCTCTTTTGTCATGATTGGGTCAGGCCAAGGACTTTGCAAACGACACCTTGCAGCCAAGACCGCCCAATGCCCAATCAAGGAATGCAACCACAAAGGTCCTTGCAGGTCCTTGTGGGTCCTTGACAAGCCAAAGATAGAATATGGTTCACCAACTACCGTCATTTGTTGCGCCGCCTCTTCCTCTAGGCTGTGCTCAAACTATAGATGTGTGTTTAAACCTTTAGGCTGTGTTTCTTTAAACTAAAGAATTTAAACGACGATTCCTGACATAGGTACTTGAAGACTGTAGGGCCTAAACACTAAAGCGCCCGGGGCACTTGGCGCTGGCAGTAAGTGTGGCGGGCAACACTCACTGGTGACAGGCAAAGCAATGATATGACAGGCATAACGCCCAGCAAAATCGGTAAAATAACAAAATAAATCGGTAAAATAGCAAAATTACCCCTTATTGCATCTAGTTATTATATATATATATATCTGTATATAACTCTTCAGCACTTGCGGGCCTTTTCTCACATGCTACGAGGGTTGGTGCACACAGCCGCGTCTGCGGCTTCAGGAGCGGTTTGCGCAAGCGCGGTGGGCGGGCTGGTGGGAAGGCTTTGAGCCAGCCACATGGCATTCAGAGTTAAAGTGCAACTCTTCAGCACTTGCGGGCCTTTTCTCACATGCTATGAGGGTTGGTGCACACAGCCGCGTCTGCGGCTTCGTCAGCTCCCGCTCTTTGCCACCCAAGGACTCCAGCTCAAAGTCGCGCGCAGTTTGCTCAAACAGAACGGGCCATGCCAAGTCGCCCTGCGCCACCGTCAGGCTAGTTGGAAGGCCCACGGAAAAGTGCTGCACCTTGGAGAATTTTCGACTTCACCACCTCAGGAAGGCGAGGGAGAAACTGCACTGCCCAAGCCTTCTGAACGTAGATCTCTATGATCTTGCTGGAGACCCATCTTCCTCGTCTTCTTGTCAGCTCGCTGTCCTTGGAGATGCCCTGCAGCGAGTTTGCCATCAGCAGCTTCTGGAAGCGTCCTCTCATCGTCTGGCCTGAAGCCAGGAAGCCCCGTCACTATGATTGGACCTCAGCCAATTGGGTGTCCACACGTGATTCCCATCATGGCACGGAATTCAGGTTGCTTGCTGGCAGTCCCGGCGGGTTTTTTCCAGAAGAGACGCTGACGACAGGCAATTTGGCTCGGCCGGAGGACTTTGTCGGTCCCTCGGCCCGCCGGGTCTCCTTTCCGATGTCCTTCGCGGAGGACGATGGCACAGAAGTGGCAGCTCATGTCGAGGAACCCATTCTGCTCATCGACTTCCACCGCACGGCCCTCTCGTGGGGCGGAGGAACCCTTATTGGCGAGGTCCTGAGAGCGCCTACCGGCGGGACTTGGTCCTTCCGGTCGGCTCCATGAACTACGCCCTCCTCCAGATCGCTGACCGAAGACAGGCACCAGATTGCAAAGTTGGATTAGCCGCAGCTGCTCCAAGTGATCGAGATAGCGTTCGCGCTCCTGGACCCTGACCAAAAGCTCTCGCCGGACCGTCCAGGACAGCGCCAGCCCAGCAGCCGGCGTTCCAGGCACGTAGAGCTCGAACACGGACTGAGCAAGAATTACCTGACAAAAGATCAACGCAAGCCTCAGGAAGATCTGGAATGCTCCTAGCCACGTCGGAGCCCGGAGACCCCTGTGCCCAAGTGGTAGTCCTCCTCTCCGGTGTAGATGGCAATGGAGGGACGACGTCCCAACTAGAAGGCTGAGAGGCCTCAGAAGAAACGGCCTGAGGCCGAGGATAGGGAGCAGCGGAGATGCCCTCGGCACGGTTGGCAGCAGCCTCAAGTGACTCGGCAAGGCCCCTCAGAGCACGGGCAGTTGCTAGTGTGACCCCCAATCAGAATGAGTAAGCCGGCCCCGGTGCTCATATAGGTACGCCGCAAGCTGTGAAGAGGGACGCAGACCTGGACCTCCCGGAGGGCAGAGTGGGGAGCCCAAAGGAACTGAGCTCAGGCGCAAGTGAAGCCAAATCCCAAAAGAGATGCAGGCAAGCGTGCCCAGGCAAAGTCCAGAACTGAAGATGGCCAGGAGGTAAGTGGGTGAAGAACCGCAGTGAGCGGGACACGACAACCCAAACCAATTGGTCGCACTCCCCCACGAGATGAAATTCACCAGGTCGGCGAATCCCAACTGCATCAAGGCTTTGAGCCAGCCACATGGCATTCAGAGTTATACTGTAGGACAAACACTTAGAACATATTTTGGAAAAAAATTCTCCCTGGTAAATATGTTCTAAGCGTATGGGTAAGAACATCGCCGACGTTCTAAGTGAAAGGTGTTAAGAATGTTGAGGCCATACACATAGAACATGAGGCCATATACATAGAACATGTCTCGCATGTACTCATAGAACATGTGGAGGGCTTTGTATAAACACCTGTAAACACTTGAGACATTGCAAAAGTCACAGCGCTCATGTGGAAATGCATATGTAGATTGCATATAATTACACAGCTCACAAGCACGCGGCAATGCACAGTTGGAGTGTGTGTTGATTGAACGTTTGGTGGCACTTACAACTTTGAAACATTTGGTGTGCCAATGAAGCATCACGGCTCAGTGCTCAGTGCTGCGTTCTTTTCTCCCTGGGTGGTTTGCGATGGCGGGTGAACCTCCGCTTCCTCCACCGAATGAACCACCACCAGGGCCTTCAACACCCAAACAGAAGGTGACGGAGCAAACAAAGTCAACGACAGAGGTGCTTCCAAAGGCAATCAATTCATACCAGTATGGGAAACTTGGTTGCAAAGGGACGTGGTGGATGTTCTAAGTGTTGCTTCTGAGGATGGGTTTGAGGAATTTCCAGAAGATACTCTAGGGTTATTGAGCCATTAGGTATGTATACATTTGGGTTTGCTTGACAATGAAGACTTGGCAAATTCTTTGGCATTTTCACTCTAGTCTATCTTTCACAGAAGGAGCGGTTGAAATTCTATATGTTATGTATGTTCTAAGTGTGCATGTTCCACACGGTATGAAACAACACCCTCTATGGCACTTCTTGTGGCACTTCTTATTATTGCATTTTCAGGTTTGCATCCCTAATTATATGCTTATTTCAACGACAGTTATATAAGTATTTTTTTCTGCACTCCTTTTTCAGTCTGCGCCCTCAGTTCCGACCTTTGGTCGGAAACAGGCTGGCAGTGTCGCCTGGCCTGTCTGGTGACTGCACGGGCGCTGCAGTCCTTTGCTCGCTGCAAAACCTTTTGCAGCGTGAGCTCCACAGCTCGTGCACCAGAGCTTTCCCCCTTTCCTCCACATGACATGGGAGGCATGACCTTTCCAGCCTTCTGTTGGACTCCATTGTTCATCCCAACATGGCTTGGTCGTCATTTCAAGGAGCTTCTCTCTGGCGGAGTTCTTGAGGAGCTTGATGTTGCATTTCTCACATGAGATGTAGTTGGTCTGAATGGCGAAACTGTGTGGCGCCATATTTGGCAGGGCACCCTGCACAATTTGCTGAAGAAGAGCTGCCTTGGTTTGGTCAGAGGCGGCTCCTCCAACAAGGCTCATGCCTGGATTGTCGTCACACATGGCTGTCTGGCCATCAAGGATGTCTTGGTACTTGTTGTGCATGGTGAGCCGCCTTTTACAGCTGCTGCATTGGACTCCTTTGCCCTTCACCACCCATGTGTGCTGTCCTGGCTGTGTATTGTGGGTGAGCTGTAGGAAAGCAACTCTTTTGGCTTCTCTTGCGTCTTCACGCTTCTGTTTGCCGGTTTCTTTGGCTGCATGCAAGAAATGCTGTTTGTCACTGAGCAAATGCTTGATGCGTTCAATCGCCTGGGGAGCAATTCGTTGGTACTTCTTGTCTTGCTCCTTTAGTTCCTTTTCTTGCTCAAGAGGTTGCAGTTATATAAGTATATATATATAATATATATACATCCTAAATGTTCAACTGCAGTGATGATCTGCCATAGCCATAGAATGCTTTAGGGCAGCCTACTTCTGTTTTGTTCTAAGCGTGGGGGTAGTGAGACTGCGCGCATGAGGTACTCGGTACGATTTGAATGCCATATCCGGAAGTTTCTCAAAACCTCCTTCACCTCCCCTGAAGAAGCCAAAAACGCTGCTCTTGCCTATGAGAAAATCAGCAATGCCATGCTGAGCAAGTTTGACAGCCTGCAGGGCAAGGGAAAAGAACATTGGCTTTGTTCATCACATATTTTCTAGTTTTTTGTGGAGTGTGCGGTGTGCATGCACATGTGCTATGCTGCTATCCAACCTATATATATACTGTAACCTGGTTTGGGGCTTACATCACAAACTGAAGCGAACGTTCTAAGTGTGTAAGCCCTGCATAGGTGCATGACCCACATGTTAATGTTTCAGAACAACACAAGAGGCAACATACAGTGTCATGTGAGGCACAACCCCGTCATGAATGGCAAAAGAAGCATGGTTTACCAACAACGGGATCGCTCAATAAGCAGCGAATGGGCATCATGGACATGCTCGCCCAGCAGCACGTGGTTGAAGCAGAGATGGCCATTTTGAAAGCAACCAACTTGTTGAGCATGACTGGATGTGAGCAAATTGAGGTTGACCGACCACTTGGGCGCTTACGTGTCAGCTTCAACTCGGGAGATGCCATCATCACAAAGCTCTTTGATACCCACAAAGCTGCTTATGACTGGCTGTTGAGTATGGGACATTCCTTAAAAAGTGGGGTGGGGTGCTTGACAAGAGCATGCGCGCCGCCGCTAAGGAGGTGGCACCGGGTGTAGATTTGGAAAGAGCCGCAGCAAGTCAGACCTCCAAGGTAGATCTTTCAACAGCTGTTGACACCCTGCAGGGCGCTCAGAAGCTGCAAGGTGATGGTGGCATCAAGGATGTCACGAAAGAGTTTATGGAAGTGACAAGAACTCATACCGCCCATCTTCCCGAATCAGTGGTTTGCTTGCACAAAGGGAGCATGAATTCCGTGACAACATTGGCGGCGTCCAATCCTTCCACGGTTGCTCTCCTGCTGGGGAAAAAGGCTTGGAATGACAAGTTGCATTGCATGCAATTTGTTCTCTCCACAACTACAGTGGCAGACCTGGCAAAACACGATCGGGTGGCTGCACGCTGCAAGACTTTGGGCTGTTGTGACGTGACGGGTCCCTATTTATGAGGAATGGGCCAGCCAAAACAAAAGGAATGAAATCTTTGATTTGCTGGATTTTTCCAACCCCTTGCTGGTGACAATTGACTTTTCAGCAAATTGTGCTGGAGATTTGGCATGCTGGGAGCTGAGCAGGGACAATGATGATACCATGAAAGCGGTCTCTATCTCTTGGGTGACACAACCAAAAGACCGATCGCGGCGGCATTGCTACAATGTGTGCTGGATTAACGACCTTGGCACCTCCCACATTGAAGCCACTGCAAAGCAAGTGTGTGCATCTGTCCTGCAGCATCTGAAGCCCCAGACTGATTTGTTGGCAAAGGCAGAGAGAACCAAACAAATGAAACTTTCATACTTTGAGAAAGTTTCAACCATTGCAGATGGTTGGTGCGGGTGGCACTCCATGCTTGCTGCCAGAGATGTACAGCGATACCTCAAGGTGCCTCGCAATGTCTCCATATACCCTATCAACTCCAGGCTTCTCAAGCAAGAGTCAAATGCAGCGAAAGAGCTTTGTGCATCTGTTTGTGATTGCGCGAGGGGTGTTTGCCAGCCAAGTCATCATCCTTCCATCAGCAGGGTGGAATCCTCTGGCTACTTTGCTCCAACTGATTTAGAATGGATAGCTGAGGCTCTTGCGACGACAGTACGCTGCACATGCTGCGTTCAAGCAAGGGACACCCAAATCGAACATCCTCAATACTTGTATATATATATATAGTACATATACCATATACTGTGTAACTACTTACTGTAGTTAGTTTCAATCTGGGATGTTCTAAGTGTTGCGCCTGTCAGGTTGGGACACTGAACGGAACCAACTTGGATGTCGTCTTTGGCGAAGATGCACCAAGGCTCCATCTCTACTTTCACTTTGACAAGCCTGTGGAAGGTGGTGACAGCTATGGCCACTACAGTCTGCTGATTCCTGCTAGCAGTGATCAAAAAGGTGCACTGAAACTTCTTGAAACCGTGCTTGGTCAGCATCCAGTGCCAAATGTACCATTTTATTTTTCCCCCACAAAGGGTGGAGCTCTAAATGTTTGAGGCCGCGTGTAAGATATGTATCTGATGGGAAACACATACACACACATATCTGTGAATTATATAATCACAGTGCTTGATATATAGCACACTGCTCAGCACTGCCGAGGTTCCCAGAGAGCATGCTGCTGAATCCATCTCACTGCTTCTGTTGGGGGAGGACGATGGTGATATCAGCGGGGCTATCAACAATTCTGTGCCTGAACCAGTTCGACCTCCACACACTCGACAGGTTATGAACGAGCAGCAGGTACCTCTTGTAGCTTTGCAGCATCATGATGTGCAACAACAAACTCCTGCAGCACCATCACACTTAGAACATGCCAGCACTACTTCAGCTTCAGCAGATGCATCAAGCGACAGAGCAACATCAGTGGAGGACCCACCAAAAACAAAACTAGCAGAAGAAGCTTCAGCTGGGACCATGCAAGCGCCAGCACCTCCCGCAGCACAGCTCACACCAGCACAGGTGCAATGTCCTGATGGACAGGCTTCCGGCATGCAGTCACCTCCTTCAGCACCATCACACGTAGAACATGCCAGCACTACCTCAGCTTCAGAAGATGCATCAGCAGCCCAGCCAAGCGACAAAGCAACATCAGTGGAGGACCCACCAAAAACACAACTAGCAGAAGAAGCATCAGCTGGGACCATGCAAGCGCCTCCAGCACCTCCCGCAGCACAGGTGCAATGTCATGATGGACAGGCTTCGGGCATGCAGTCACCTCCTTCAGCACCATCACACTTAGAACATGCCAGCACTACCTCAGCTTCAGCAAAGACATCAGCAGTTCAGCTTCCCAAGCAAGGGCGAACATTGGCAGAACAAGGAGTCAAGATAGAACGAGCAGATGAATCAACAGCTCCGCTACCACCAGCAATTTGCAATCGTGCCCAAACAAGCAAACCATCGAGCCAACCTGCAGCCTTATGCAAGCAACCATTTCAAGCACCACCGCGAGCAGCTAAACACCAGGCTCAAGCACCATTGCAGTTTTGGGTAACT